TAGGCTAAAGCTGAGGACGAGTCTGAGCCCAGCTCCTGCCCCCAAGCGTCTTGCTGTGGAGGGTGAGGCGGCTCTGGCAGGTAAGCAGAGGGGGCCTCAGACTCAGGGGGCCCAACCCAGTTCTGTGGGAGCAGGTCGGGCCTCTGAGGAGCAGACGTGGAAGCTGAGGCTGGAGTAGGAAGAGAGCTCCGGGCAGAGGGAGCAGCGTGGATCAGGACCTGGAGGCCAAGGGCGGTCAGCAGGTTTAAGACTCAGAAAAAAAAGCTTCAGCAGGGCTGGAGGCTTGCTCTGAGGGGCGGGAGAGGGGAGCAGAGTCAACTTCTCCTGTGGGGGGTTCTGGGGGGGCAGGCCCCTGCTCTGTTACCTTGATCACTGCTCGCTCTGTGGAGCCCCGGACAGTGCCTGGCACACAGGAGGAGCTTGACACACACATGGCGAACGAGTGAGCATGTGCGTGAATGAATGGCCCATGTGGGTCCGTGTGTCTACGCATTGATGCGGCAACAGAGATCAGACCCTCACCCCGTTTTGTTTTGTTTCTACATTTATTTATTTAAGTAATCTCTACCCCCAACTTGGGGCTCAAACTCACCTCCCCGAGATCAAGAGTCATGTGCTCCCCCAACTGAGCCCACCAGGCGCCCCTGTTCTTATTTCTAAGTGACTTACACACGACATCAGTTTGGGAAGAAGTAGGCGATCTTGCTTTTTTCCTTTGGGATTTATGCCACATACTTGGAGGGGGAACGAAGCAAAAGAACACTATTAATTTGCAGGAGTGGGGAGAAACATGTACGACCTATCAGTGTGCACACCCCAACACAAGCCTCCTTTGGCTCAGGGAAATTAAAGCCTCCTCTTATCACCTTCTTGATGCAGGTGGGAAACCAGGTGGATGAAAACACCCGATCCTGAATACAGGTTAACCACTACTTTTGAGAAAACAAGAAAAAGAAATTCCAACTAAGAAAAAAAGACTCCCTCCGCTCTCACAAAGCTATTACATTCTAGCAGGGGAGAGAGACACGAAGCAAGGAAGCGCATGATCAGACACTTAATAAGCTATAAGGCCGGGAATGGACAAGTGTGGGGAAGGGAAGACTGTGACGGGAGGGGGGGTGCATCTGAGGGGCATGGCGGCTGAGATGTGGAGGGTTAAGTGGGAGCTGGAAGGGGTGAAGGTGGGGGACAGGAAGAGGTCTGGGCAACCCTAAGTGAGGGGGGACGGAGGGGCCTCGAAGAACGCAGAAGGGCGCGTGGGTACCTGGGAGGGCAGGACAGCAGGGGGAAAGGCTGCAGGCTGAGTGAAGGGGGCCTGGGAGACACGAAACCCTGTCCAGGGGTCTCTGCCGGTGACCTTCACTCTTGGGGACCCGTAGGTTTGAAGAAGCCTATTTCCCCCAGATTGAAGCGGTCATCCGGAATAGCTCAGGAGAGGCAGCGTGGGCTGGACAGGAGCCCAGGGCCGAGTCCTCCTTAGCCTCCCTGAAACACTGGCAGGCAGACCAGCAGCAAAGATCAGGTTAAGTCTTCCCACCCCGGCCCATTGCCCTGAAGGCCCCAAGGAAGCCACCGCGGAGACCACCACTGAGACAGCCAGGGGGGTGCACAGAACTCAGAAGTCAGTACATAGAAAGTGTCTCAGGGTGCCTGGGTGGCTCAGTCGGTGAAGCGTCTGCCTTCGGCTCAGGTCATGGTCCCAGGGTCCTGGGATCGAGCCCCGCATCGGGCTCCCTGCTCAGCGAGGAGCCTGCTTCTCCCTCTCCCTCTGTGCTCTCTCCCTCTGGTCTCTCAAATAAGTAAATAAAATCTTTAAAAAACAGTAATTTCTTTTAATAAAAAAAAGACTTTTTGTGTCTCATTAATTCTAAGATGCAAATTCTTTCACATTTTAACATCTCTGAAATTAGCATGACCTCACAGCCTGAGCATCAGAGTTTAGACCCATTTTTCCTGGTGGCGGACAAAGGGTGAGTCTGACTATCAATGGTGTCACAGTGTCTGGAGACCATGGGTGTGGTTTCTTGCACACAGGAGTGACTGGAAGTAAACCGGTGAAACCTACATTTTCAAAAGAATTCTGTTTCCACAGAAACCACTTACCCTGAGGCTTTAATGGCCCAGCACTGCAGTCAGGACTTTTATGGGAAACATTTGTCTTGTTCAAACTGTTGCTTTTCTGCGTCAGCTGAACTTCTAAGCTGATCTCAGCTGTAAATTCATAATTTTTGTTTGGCCAAAGGTTTCCAGATTCTCTTTTCCCTCTGGCCAAAGAATTTCTAACAAAACCACTGACTCCCACAGGCCCTATGACTTCAAATTACAAGTGAACAACATATAAAAAACAAACAAACAAAAAACCCCCAAACAGCCCCATTTAAAAATGAACAGAGGACTTGAACACACATTTTTCCGAAGAAGACATACCAATGGCCTATGAGCACAAGAAAAGATGTTCCCCATCAATCATCATCAGGGAAATACAAACCAAAAACCACAACGAGATACCAACTCACACCCATTCGGATGGCTATCATCAAAAAAGCAAAAAATAAGCATTGGTGTGAATGTGGAGACTGGAACCCACAGAAGGGCCCCGAGGGCGAGGGGTTCATCAGCTACTGCAGCAGAACCTCGCCCACCCTAACATGGGAGCCGTGCGCAGCGGGCGGACCAAGCTTGCCCCGCGTCACGGTTCTCGTGGAGGCCACGGGAGACCATAACCCTTGTTCCAGCCCTCTGAGCTGAGAAACCTCAGAAAAACCATGTGCCTCCTCTGGCCTTCGGGCTCCCATTTAGTCCGTTTTTATCCTACAAAACCAGGAATTTTCATATTGTTCAACCTATCAGGAGGAAGACAGACACTGGCTGGTAACCCAGGAGGGGAGATCTGGGCCCTCGGCCAACCTTGCCTCCAGCTCACCGCCTGGCTCTCAGCTTCCCCGTCTGTGCCTGTCGGGGCTCTGATCACCCGGGGCTCCCAGGGCTGGGCTAGAGAGGGCAGGGGAGGAGCCACCAGCCCAGAGACTTCAGGAGAAGACCCCGTCAATGGACCGCAGCTTTAGGGACCAAGAAGAAGGGGAAAACTCACTGCCTGCTGTCCACAGCTTCAGCCTCATCCATGGGGGCCTGCCTGAGCCCCTGAGCCCCAAGCCCCCACCTGGGAGGCCACCTGCCCAGAGCTGGGAGCTGCAGAGCCACGCCCGGGGCCATGGAACCACCTGGCCCAACGGGGGTTGCCAGATGTGTCTGCCCCCGGGTGAGGGGAAGAGGCTGCTGCCGGGGCACCTCCTGGACACTGAGGGCATCAGCAGGACAGACCCAGCACACAAGGCGATCTGGAGCTGCACAGAGTACTGAGCTTTATTTATGAACATGTCACAGAATCCTCTCACCCGCCCCCCCCAACCCTGGAGCCCCCACCTCTGTCCCCAGGAAGGAGAAAAGCGTGGGGCCATCCACCTGCCCACCTGGGAGGGTGGGGCCTAAGTCCACCTCCCTGGTCGTGGGCGCCCTAACAGGGGAGACGGGGTACAGGTGATGGCAGGGGCCCTGTCCTCCTCCAAGTGGCCAGTCCTCAGGGCTTCAGCCACGGGGCACACGGCTGGGGTTCTGACCAGATTGGGGTGCAGGGTGGGACCCTTGTTGGCAGGGCCTGGATGGTGAATGGGGAGGTGTCAGAGGGGGCCACTTGAAAGGTCACCCTCAGTTCCCACCTCATTCCCTTCTGGATCAGAGTCAGGGTCACCTTCCTGGGTGGGGTGGGGAGCTGGCAGGGAGCAGAAGAGCCTGGAAGGGTGCCAAGGGCTGGGGGGCCGGGGCCCTGCACTCTCTGCCCCGATCTGCCCCCCCACCCCCCCCAGGCCTGCTCCAAGGCGTCTGTCCCTCCTGGGGCACCCCGGACCATACCAGGTGAGAAGTACTGGCAGCTGACAGCTTCCGGTGCTGGGCCTCGGAGGAGACACAGGACCAGAGGTCCAGGCTCTTGGGGGCTGAGCTTTTCTCAGACTTTGGAGGGAGAATGTCCCAGCCCAGCAGGCAGTGCTGTGGAGAGTGAGGGGTTAAGGCTCCCTTCTGATGGGGCGCACCCCAGGGAGGGGGCTGTGCCTCTCCCCTTGGACTGCCAGCATCCCCTAGCTGGGGCTGTGTCCCCCCAAACAGTCATGATGTTCCCTGGAGACTGAGGTTCCCCCAGGGCAGGGCCCGTGTCCACCCACTGGGTTACCCCAGGCCTTCCTTTCCCTGCTGACCCAGGCCCTGGGCCCCTGGCCTGAGACAGGAGGGAAGCCCGTGGATACTGACAGAGCGCTTCCTGTGTGCCGGACTCTGCCCCACGCCCCTGACAGGTACTGATCACTGAAGTGCCCCACTCACCCCACCAGTCTGAGGACTGTTTGCTGTGCCCATTTTACAGATGAGCAGACCGACTTTCCTCAGCATCCCTTCTCCTCCCCATAATCCCAGCTCCCCCAGCCTCAACTGGGAGTGGGGCCCCCACGGGCTCCCTGCTACCCGGGAGACACAAAGAACGTTTCCATGGGAGACACTAGGAAACATAAGGACCTGGGCTCAAATCCCTGCTCTTCCACCTGCTGATCTGAGACCAGTGACCTCCCTCGGCCTCAGTCTCCTTATCTGTACAGTGGGATGGCAACAGGACCCACAGTCTTGGCTGCTGTGAGGGCTCCATGAGGTAATCCTCCTAAGGACTCCGCACACAGCACCCAAGAGCTCAATCAATGAGGCACATGTGCGTGACGCCAGCAGGCAGGCAGACCCTTATCCTGGAAGCACGGGGTGGGCGAGGAACAGGGAACAAGCACAGTGCCAGGTGATGGAAGCGGCCCAGCCTGAACTCCACAGACCTGGGTGCTCGCCCTCCTTGTGCCCAGCCTCGCTGTGTGGCCTTGGCCCAGTCTCTGGCCCTCTCTGGGCCTCAGGATCCTCCTGGGGACCTGGGCTCTGAGCCCAACTCCATCCAGCCCCACACTGCTGCTCACCCGGGGCAGGGCCAGCGTGTCGGAGGCGTCGAAGCTCTTCCGCCGGTGGATGCGGTACTGGTGCGGGGGGTCCAGGACAGACAGCGGGATGCTCACCCTGCGGGGGGACAGTGGACAGAGGAGGCCCGGCTGCGGGTGCCTGCTGGCGGCTAGGGGGCCCACCCTGCCCCCCCGCAGGACTGGCAGGCCTCAGGCTCGGCTCCTCTCCTCAGCCTCTGCCGCCCCTCCGGCTGCCCCGAGGGGTCCTACCTGCTCGGGCCACTCACCTGACCTGCGCTGTCCGCACCCGAGTCTCAGGATGCTTCTCGTCCCGAGGTGTCAGGCACAGGCGGCAAGGGGCGCCAGGATCGGAAGGCACCAGAAACAGGCGCCGGTTGACGCGGTAACAGTACACGCCTGCGGGGCCGGAAGAAGCAGCAGCTCCTCTCAGCTGGACCCCCAGATCCCTGATCGCCCCCTGCTGCCCCCACCGCACGGGTCCGCCAACCCCACCTCCCCCATGGCCACACGCACAGGCGTACACACACAGAACACGAACCCGACGTGACGTACACACGTGTGTGCATCATCTGCTGCGGATGGGAACCCAAAGCAAAGACTCGGGTGCTCGTGTGACTGAGCCAGCGCCCCCACCCCCCTGAGCACAGAGCAGCAGAAGTGGGGGGCGCACAGGAAAGGAGGCGGCTGGGGAGGGGGGCGGTGGGGTGCCACAGGCTTGGCCTCAGCTCCCCGCCACTCCCCAGCCCCGACCCAAGGCTTGCCCCACCCTGTCTGGACCCTAGGCTCCCCCTCCCTGAGTCCCCACCACCCCAGCTGCCTCCCTAGGCCCCCCGAGACCTCGCTCAGCCAGGCTACGGGGCACCTGCCGAGAATTTCCACTCACACTCATGGTCTTCCTCCACACCTCTGCTCTCCCACGGGCCTAGGAACTGGGGTCTGTGAGGGGACAGGGGTGAGCAGGCCGGGCAATGGGGTCCCTGAGCCGCCCTGCCCACCCGTCGGCCACCCCTGCTCACTCAGGGTCACTGTTGATACACTCCTCCTTGTTGGCTTCCCGGAAATCCTGTAGCTTGGAGAAAAAGGCCTCAGGCTTGCTGGTGATGGGTGAGCTGTTGTCCAGAGAGCCTGGAGTGGGCAAAGCACCAGCAGCTGCTGTGTGGCCGCCGGCCGAGCCTTAGGGGGCACTCGGCACAGCACTCCAGTCGACCTGCTTTGCCCCCACTCTGCCTCATACAGCCCTGGAGGGCACGCGCCACTCGTTGTGACTGCTGGTCCTGCCTCCGTGTGTGTCTACCCTCACGCACAGCCTATCGTCCGTGCAAAAAATATTTAAACAAAAAATACTTAGAGCCCCTCCTAGGGGCTGCAGTTTGATGTGCCAGGGAGAGAGGAGGGAACTAGACAAAGCCCTGGCTTCGTAAGCCTTACAAATATGGTGGCAAGGGGGGGAGCCTGGGAGGCTCAGTCGTGAAGCGTCTGCCCTTCAGCTCAGGTCATGATCTCGGGGTCCTGGGATCGAGCCCCACATCGGGCTCCCTGCTCGGCGGAGAGCCTGCTTCTCCCTCTCCCACTCCCCCTGCTTGTGCGCTCTCGCTCGTGCTCTCTCTCAAATAAATAAAATCTTAACTAAACTAAACAAAATAAAATAAAATAAAATAAAATAGAAATATTTCATCAGGGTAGAAAACAACACGTTGCAGCTCTACAGCTGAGCAGATGGGAGACTTCGTGAAGTGCCTCAGGGCCGGCAGCTCAGCCTTCTCATCTGTCCATGGGGACGGGGGACGACAGCAGCGCCGGCCTAACAGATCATCGTGAAGGGCGGCGGAGATAAGAGGAGTAAAGCCGAGGGAAGCTCACAGAACACCTGTAACAGGTGCTCCCTAAAACCTGTTCTCCTCACCCTTCCCAGGGTCCACATGCTCATGGGACTGAACGAGGAGGCAGGAGAGACTCGCAGGAAGCAAATCCTCCAGGAGCCCAGAGGGGATGGGGCAGAGCACACAAAGGCAGGGACAGGCCTGAGATGGGGGCGATCGTTCACCCTCGGGAAGGAGAGTGAGCACAGGGAAAGGGCGGGCAGGAGGCAGGCGCCTCCACCTTCCAGAAACGGGAAGCAAGGCAGCGAGCTGAGAGGCCGGGAAATGCGGGGGACAGGGCCTGTGTCCCCACCACCACTGGGTCTCAGCAACCCCCTGGAGCACCTGCCTCTAGGAAGTAACTCAACCTGTGCCTCAGTTTCCCCCTTTATGAAATGGGGAGCCAAATGGCAGCAACCTCTCATGGCTGCTCACTCACTCATTCGACAGGTGTCGTGTGAGGACCTACTATGCGTCACACACCTCTAAGCTCAGGCTCGGGAGATAGAGCAAGAAGATGGTATGGCCCTGCTCAAATGAAGCTTACATTCTACTGGAGAACTCAGCTAAGAAATAAGGAAATGGGACAATTCCTGAGAACGAATGATATGAAGAACATACAAATGACTGATGCCACAGGCAGGGATGTGGGGGGCAGGGGCCCTATGACATTATGCTCACAGAAGGCCTAGCCCCTGAGCTGGGCCCTCAATGATAAAAAGCACCCAGAGGGTGTGAACCTGGGGAAGTGCATTCCAGGCAGCAGGGACAGCAAGTGCAAAGGCCCTGAGGCTGCCATGAGTGTGGCACGTTCAAGGACCAGCAAGGAGGCCCATGAGGCTGGAGCAAAGAGCCAGAGGCTGATAGTGAGAGGTCACGTCACAGAGCTACCTGGGGCCAGGTCTTACCTCGTAAGGCCAGATAAGGATTTTGTATTTTATTCTAAGTGCTAAGTACTCTGATTCCCAGGTTTCATTCTGGCTGCCATTCAAAAATGGATAATAATGGGGTGGACGAAGCCAGAGGGAGACCAGCCAGGCCACTGAGGTTGCTGAGGGTGGGGGGTTAGGGGGATAGGCAGTACGATGTAAAGAGACGATATGCACACGGAGTTTTGCAGGGGCCTGGCACCAATACATGCTAAAGAATATGGTGGCTCTGGGGCGCCTGGGTGGCTCAGTCGGTTGGGCGTCTGCCTTTGGCTCAGGTCATGATCCCAGGGTCCTGGGATGGAGCCCCATGTCTGGCTCCCTGCTCAGTGGAGAATCTATTTCTCCTCTCAGCCCCTCCCTCCCCTCGTGCTCGCTCACTCTAATTAAAAAAAAAAGAATATGGCAGCTCTGACTCATTCATTCAGCACCGGTAGGGCTCAGGCAGGCATGTGGAGGCGGGCCATACCTGCAATCCAGTCGTAGCCCAAGCATGGCCAGAAGCGCCCGCTCCTGTCAGGCAATGCAGACTCCTCACTGAGGGTCACTCTTGACTGAGGAGGGAGACAGAGAGGGGCAAGGGCTAGGCGTGCAGGCCCAGCCCGGAGGCCCCACCTTGCGGGTAAAAAAGGGGCCATGTCTTAACTTATACCCTGACATGAGCCCCAGGACTCAGCTAGGGGCTTGGGAGTTGGAAGAGTTTGGCCCGCAATACCCCTCTACGTGCGACTTTGAACAAGCGTGGCCTCTGAGCCTTGGTCTTCCCATCTGTATAATGGGCTCATCACCTTCTTCCCAAAGTGCCGAGAAACTGACAACCACCACTTTTTAAGCACTTCAGCTGAGCTGGGCATGACTCAAGGTATCTCCAGGAAGCCTCCCACCCTGAGGGGAGCCTGCCGATGAGTGCATTTGTGAGATAGGGAGACTGAAGTTCAAGGAAGTTCTATTCTCCCATGTTACCTTGGACAGCCTCCTTTGTTGATCCAGGGTGCAGCTCTGGGCCTGGACCTCCTGAGGCCCTGGACTGTCCAGCTCTGCTGAAAGCGCTGGGTCATTTGGGTCTGAGATGGCCAGCAAGGGTGCCGAGTAGGGCCTCAGTGAGCCCAGGGACGCCTGGTGTCGGTACTTGGCAGAAGGGAGAGAGATCACTCCAGAGCTGGTCCCACCAGGCCTGGACATATCACAGGGATCACCCTGGTGGGCAGGGTGTAGGCCGGAGGCTCTGAGGGCCATTAATGACGTCTCCTGGGACGATGGCGTCTGGGAGTCATAGCTGCTGCTGGAGTCCAGAGCTGACTGGAACAGAGAGGCCAGGTCATCCAGGGAGTGGCCCAGCTACCCACCCAGCTGGCCTGCACTAGGCACAAAGGCCTGGTTCCTCAATCCTCATCCCTGCTCCGGCCTCTGCAGCATCCCAGGCCAGTCCCTTCTTTGCTGGGCCTCAGTTTTCTCTAAACTGGGCGTGTTGCACAGGAGGCCTGGGACCTGCCTGGTTAGGGAGCCCCTTCACGCCCCCCCTTGCAAGTTGTCAAGGCGGATGCTCACCTTTGAGGCTGCTTTGGCCACCGACCGCCGCACGGCATCCTGCCCGACCCACAGCTGCCTCAGGAGTGCCAAGTTGAGCTGCCGGAGCTGCACCAAGTCCTTGGTCTCCACCATCCCAGGCGCATGGCGTGGCTTCCTCCTGGGCTGTGGTGTACCCTCGGGCTGGGTTCCAGGCCCGGCTCTTCTACCTAAACGAAGACAGCATGACACCGGCCAAGGAGGCTGCCCTGTGGAGCCAGAGGCCTGGGGTTGAACCCCCACTCTACTGCTCCTTAACTGTGCAGTCTCAAGCAAGTTATTTAATTGCTCTGTGCCTCAGTTTCCTCATGTGCCAAACAGAAATGATAACAGACCTCCTCAAATTACTGTAGGGATTAAACGAGCTAATGCATGTTAAGCCTTAGTATGGTGCCTGGTATACAGTGAGCACTCAACAAATGTCTATTATTAAACTGGCCAGACTGTGTTTACTTACACACCCAAAAGGGAACAATCCCCCTTTAACAATCTTAACTATGAAATTAGTTTAATTTGTAGAAAACAACTGGGGCAAGTCTACAAAGGTAAAGTATTATAAATTGTGAATCCAACACAGATCAGGCTTCTGAAGGGAGGCTTCCCTCTGTCCTGCCCACCCTTCCATCTTCCCTTTCTTTTTACAAATCAAGAAACCAAAGTTCAGAGGAGTTAACCAACTTGCCCACCTCACACCGCTAGTAAGTGACAAAGGCAGGATTTAAACGGGAATCTGGCTCCAGGACCTGTTGCAGCTGAGACGTGCCTGGGACGCCTTCTCCTTCCTCCTCCTCTCTCAGCCCTTTGCCCCCAGGGACCCAGGCTCAAAGACACACGGATGCCTCTAGAAGGGATTTCTGTAGGCTGGGGAAGGGGCTTCCTAATCGCCTCTGGGATCCAGGCCCAGGCTCCACCCAGAAACTCAGTCTCCCTCACTGTGCACCGGGCGGGTTTTAACGCCGGGTCAGGCCAGACCCTCCTCTCAGAAAGCCGGCCCGGCCCCCCACCCGCCTCACCCACACTGGTCGCCTGTGGACCGCCCACACCAGGGGCCGAGTCCTTGCTCCCCACGCCAGCCCCGCCGCTCCCGCACTCACCGCCTGGAAGCCTGGAAGCCCGGAAGCCTGGAAGCCCGGAAGCCCGGAAGTCCGGAAGCCCGGAAGCCCGCCGCCCCAGCGAGGCTCTCGCAGCCGGGACTTCCGCCCGGCCACCCCTCGCTTCGCCGGCTGGGGGCGGGGCCCGACCCGGCCCCCCTGATTGGTCAGATTGCGGGCGGAGCCGGACGCTCCTGCGAACGTTACTCCGCGTTCAGAAGCGGCAGTTTCAACATTGGGGCGGGCCTAACAGCGGGATTCGGGAGCTGATTGGTCAACTTCCGAGACCGCGGACTGGTCGTCGATTACAGGGCTGGGGGCGTGCCCCGATTTTTTTTTTTTAAGATTTTTTTTTTTTATTTATTTATCTGAGAGACAGAATGGGAGACAGCGTGAGAGGGGGAAGATCAGAGGGAGAAGCAGACTCCCCGCTGAGCAGGGAGCCCGATGCGGGACTCGATCCTGGGACTCCAGGATCATGACCTGAGCTGAAGGCAGTTGCTTAACCAACTGAGCCACCCAGGCGCCCCGAGGACGAGCTCCGATTGGTCAGGACGGGGCCGCCGGCCACGCCGGGTTAGGCGGCGGCCGTTTCAGAGTCTGGACCTGAAGCTGCTCCCAAGCAGCGGAATTCAGCTGTGGGAGGCCGGGCGGGAGTGGGGTAGTCGGCGGCTGGAGACTCGCTCTTTCTTACTTTCTTTCCAGTATCTATCGTGCCTACTTTGCACCAAGGAGCACAGTGCTAGGCACTGGGAGGCAGAGAAGGAAGAAGGGTCCCTGCCTGAAGGAGAGGGAGAGGCAGTGGGTTAAGCACGAACACAGATACCTGCAATCCAATTTGTATGCGGAGCATGCCAGCTCCATTTTACAGAGAAAACCAAAAACGAGGTTGTACAAGATGAAGTGACTTCACCAGAACATTTTAAAACCAATCAGTGTAATTCAGCAAATTAACAGGAAGAAAAGAAAGGATAGGAGTGAGGGAGGATGGAAGTAAGGGAAAAAAGGAGAGAGAAAGGGAGAGCAAGAGGGATCATTTTGGGGTGCTGGACACGCTCTAAAATTGGATTGTGGTGAAGGCTGCACAATTTTGTAAACTTGCTAAAATGATTTTTTTTTTTAGGATTTTATTTATTTATTTGACAGAGAGAGACACAGTGAGAGAGGGAACACAAGCAGGGGGAGTGGGAGAGGGAGGAGCAGGCTTCCCGCGGAGCAGAGAGCCCGATGCGGGGCTCGATCCCAGTACCCTGAGATCATGACCTGAGCCGAAGGCAGACACTTAACGACTGAGCCACCCAGGTGCCCCATAAAATGATTTAATTGTACACTTAGAATGAGTGAATTTTATGGTGTGTAAATTACACCTCAATAAAGCTGTGTTGTTGTTGTTGTTGTTTTTTAACAAGTTCATACCCACTATACAAGCCAGTCATTCTACTCCTAGGCATTTATCCAAGGGGGAAAAATTGTCCATACAAAGATTTGCATATGAATATTCATAGCAGTTGTAGCCGAACATAGGTCAACAGATAAATGGATAAACAAATAGTGGTATAGCCATACAATGGATACTACTCGGCAATAAAAAAGAATAAACTATTGATACGCACAATATGGATACATCTTATGTTGCATGGAAAAGAAAGAGTATGTACTGTATCTTCCATCTGTATAAAACTTTAGAAAATGTAAACAGGTCTGTAGTGATAGATCAGTGGTTGCTAGGAGAGGGGGTGGAAGAAGGCATGATAACGGGGCATGAGGGAACCTTGGGGGTGATGGCGATGTCCACTGTCTTGGTTGTGGTGATGGTCTCATGGTGCATACATATGTCTAAACTTAATGCACACTTTAAACATGCAGCTTATTGTACATAAATTATATCTCAATAAGGGACGCCTGGCTGGCTCAGTCGGTAGAGCATGTGACTCTTGATCTCAGGGTTATGAGTTCAAGTCCTATATTGGGCATAGAGCCCACTTTAAAATAAATAAATAATTAAATAAATAAATAAAATCTCGATAAAGCTGTTTAAAAGTGTGAATCAGTTAACCGTCTGCCTTTGGTCATGATCCCGAAGTCCTGGGATCAAGCCCCACATCGGGCTCCCTGCTCCTCGGGGAGCCTCCTTCTTCCTCTCCCTCTGCCCGCCGTTCCCCCAGCTTGTGCTTGCTCGCGCGCCCTCTCTGTGTCAAATAAATAAATAACTATTTTTTTAAAAAATGATGTGAAGCATGTAAAAGAAACAAATAAGAACTTGGCCTCATTGGGCACAGTGTGTTTGCCCTAGCTGGAATGGACAGCTGTCACTCCCGTGCCCCCACCCTCTCTCAGGAGTGGCCCTGAGGACAAAGACGAAGGCCAATCCTCCCGAGTGGACACAGCTGACACTGCACACTTGGTCACCCACGCATAAAGAGGGATGAACGGCCTGAGGGACAGATACACGCAAAGCCCTGGGTGGTGGCAGGTGATTTGGCTGGTGGCCAGGAGCTTAGGGGGGAAAGTTCGGAAGATGGGGGACCCGGAGAACTGGGGAGAGGTTAAGAAGGTGAGCCAGTGAGCACCAGGAGGGGCACAACAGATGAAAAATGTGTCTCAATCCACCCATCGGAGAATGTCCAGGGCAGGGGAGACGGTCAACAAACATCTGGAATGGGTGACATGCTGGTAGACGTCAGCCAGCCTCCCTCTGCAGCCACCCTAGTGTGGGTACACAGGGCCCAAGGACAGACAGAGCAGTCATGACGACAGGGGTGAAGTGGCCCGGGCTCCTCTCCCGAAGGCTCGGGGAGGTCCTGAACGCCTGGTCTGCCGAAGCAGGACCAAAGCTGAGCCCTCCATATGCTATCTCCAAGGGACCAGCCAGCCACCGGTAGCAGGTGGATTGCATCTGTCCTCCGTCCACCCTGGAGGGGGGCCATTTGTATTTATTGAGATTAATGTTAATCCACATACGGTTCCCCCTGACCACCCTGGGGGGGCAGGGGCTCACCCCCACCACCATCTGAGGGCTTTAGATTCCCTGATGTAGTGACATGGTATACACATATCGCCTCACACCAAGTGACCTGTTTTTTGGCAAAATGTGGAACAATGGGCATCTGACCAAAGGATCCAGTGATCTTTCCAGGAACCCCAACACCCGAGTGGCATAGCTTGGAAGGACCAAGCTCAGGGACCATACTTCACAGTTCTGCTCTCCAAGCAGCTGAGAAAGGCCACCGTGTACCCTGTGGCTAGAATACTCGGGGACAGGAAGCAGAGGGTGTAAGTAGAGGCCCCTCCCTCCATCACTCCAGTGACCCACTTCTGGAGTTCATGTTTCCTGTGCCCGGGGGCAGGAAGCTTCTGCTGAGGGACACGATAGGGTCCCATCGAACTTGAAGATGTGGCCATCCCCCGGTGGCTGGGCCCGTCATGCTGGCGGACCAGCGGGCAGAGTCGCTGTGCTGCTGGGGATCAAGACTCTGGTCCCCGTGAGCAGCCAGGGCTGCGGCTACTCGGTGGGACAGGGGAGTGTCGGGAACCCCCTCAGTGTCTGTCTCTTGGTGTCTCCACACCCACTGGTAGCAGCAAGTGGCAGTCGTGGCAATCATGGCCCAAGCAGGACCAGACAGCCGAGGGCTCCGGTCCCCTGGGAGGAAGTCTGCATCACCCCACCAGGAACCAGAGCAGTTGCAGCATAGACGAGGACAAGGGCAATCTAGAATGGGGCTGGACGAGGGACCAGCTGTACCAGCAGCTAGTCCCCCGAGGCAGAGACTGTGCGGGCTACCGCCTCGTAGGGCTCTGTTGGGTCAGACTTAGACCTCCCCTCCCGGGCAAGACGGGAGGGAAGGCAAGTGTAGCTCTGAGTGATTTGAGGGGTAGACTTTTCTACATAAACCCTCTGCGCCCCTTCAGACCCTCCTGGCCTCCCTTGCCTGTTGCTTCAGCCCCACCTGGGCTGGGTGACTTGTGGCGACCACAACCAACCCACACCACAGCCCCAGCCCACGCCTGTGCCCCTCACCTCCATCACCCACCATGGACCCCAGTTAGGTGCCCCAGCATTCATACATACAACCCAGAAATACAGAGTCAGTGCCCCAAGGGGCAAATCTTCAACCAGTGGGAAGAAAGAAATAGTGGGTAAATTCTTCCCCCCTCTGTCCCCACCAAGATACGAGATTTGCCCGCATGGCTTCTCAAGGTCACCGCCTGTTACTCTGCAGGCACATCTAACGGCAGCCAGCTCTATAATGCATCCTTCTGCTAGCTGTCTTTCCTTCCCACTTCTCTCTTCCTCCCTCCCTCCCTGCCTCTCTCTGGGGTTGTTCTGCAGAAATAAGTGAGGGTGCATGAGCCCTCTGCTTGAGGCTCTGCTTTCTGGGGAACCCTGGCCAAGGCACCATCCATGTGCCGACTCCCAAATGTGTACCTCCAGGCCAGACTCCACGGAGCTCCAAGTTCTTGTATCCAACTACAGAAGAGGGGCCTTACATTTAACATGTCCAAAAGGGACTCCTGATTTCCCCCAAACCTGCTCCACTGAAGCTCTCCCCCTCCCACCATGTGCCCAGGACCCTGAGTCATCCATGACT